GAAAACAGTTCCTTAGATGAGGAAATAAGACCAAGCAAGGGCCTGATCCGCAAAGAAGCGAGGCACAGGCTCATAGAAAGATGGCAGGAAAGATGGGATGGTGAGGAAAAAGGTCGATGGACTTATCGCCTTATCCCGGCACTCGCCACCTGGATAAATAGGAAACACGGTCAGGTTTCTTATTACTTGACTCAGGCGTTCACAGGTCACGGGTGTTTTAACTCGTACCTGTGTCGCTTTAAATTACGCGAGAACGAGGTGTGTGCATATTGCCAGTTCCCTGAGGACAACGCGGAGCACACCCTCTTCTCATGCAAGAAATGGGACTTGGAGAGACAGGCCATGTTCGAAGGTGTAAACAGTCAAGTTACACCGGAGAACATGGTATCGCTGATGACCCAGTCAGAAGAGAATTGGCGGCAAGTCGAGAACTTCATAATCTCGGTTATGTCGAGGAAGGATCTCGACGGCCGCCAAAAAGCGTAATTTAAACAGCTTTTAATTTTGTACGTTTGTTTTTTATTAATTTATTTTGTGATTTATTTGTCCTTATACATTTTTTAATTGTTTGTGTTTTTTATTCATCTTTGTACAGTTTTAGGTTTTCAATATTTTATACGCGTTTATTTTTTCTTTTTTTTATATATCCGTTTGTAATTTTATCTTTTGACTTTTTACACTTTTTAGAATTTGCTTTTTTATTGTTGTGCTGTTAATTCCGCTTTTATATTGAAATAGTTTTGAATTTTTAACTATTAACGCAGGATGACCGCAGAGAAAAGCAGAAAGTCGCATTAGCGACAGAGTTGGAGCGCCACCCTCGAAGGCTAAAGTCTTACGACAGTTCCGAGGGAGGGTAAAGGGCTCCAAAAGAAGGGTTACGGGTTAATTTAATTATTAAATTATTAGGTTATTATTCTTAGATTTCTTATTCTGATTTTGTATAAAATAAAAAAGAATTATTTCAATAAATGTTATAAATAATTTCATACAAAGCTAGAATTGCATATTCTAATATATAAAACTTTAGAGTATAGTATTATAACCCTAATGACTTTGACTTTAGGCTACGATCGCTGCGTATGACAGTAGTGACGTCATCACACAGGTCTATAATATTAGTGGTACGAATTACTACTTTTTCGAGTAAAAAGTTCGCTCTGCAATAGTAAAAGTTGTTTCTTGCAGAAGTAATTATTAGAATTTTTATGAGTAATATTTACAACATATTGAATGTAAAAAGTAATACAAAATTTAATGAAATTTACAATGACGATGTAAAAATTAAAATTCTTAAAGCAATTTTTAAAAGTGACTAATGTAATAATTACTATTAGTAATTTTTACTACCAGAAATAGTAATATTTATTTACTTCATGCGAAGTACATTTTACTATGAATAGTAATTTTTAACCCTAGAAGGAGTACGTTAGTTTACTCACCCTCTAAGGAGTAACTGGGGTGTCCCGACACCCCACGCTTTAAACTTGTTTTATGAGGTTTATATTTAACGTAAAAAAATTTATTGTAATGAATTGATTGGTTTTTCAGTAAGGAATACAATACTATTATTCACATTTTGATAAATTAAAATTTTTTTTGAAAAAAATTATAAAAACAAAAAAAAACACCAAAAAATTGCGAAATTGACTTTTTTCACAAAAAACGTTGTAGTTTCTTAAAAATTTGACTAATTTAAAAACTATTTTAGGTTTTTAAAGTTAAATAGATACACTTTTTGGGGAAAAAAATTAGTTTTTGTATTACTTTCAAAAAACATAATTATTTGAACATCTGAAGTGAAAGAATTTAAAGACAATTGACGAATAGTGAAAATCATAAAAATGAACTATAAAATGGACTTAAACAATTAATATTTACTAAAAATTATAAATAAAAAATAAATTATAAAATAAAAATTTTACAAACTTAATATATCTGAATATATTAACATTAAAATTAATAACTTATGAAATGATTCTGTAAATTAATATTTAATCAAAGTTTTAATTAGCAATTCTTAATACCTCTAATATATGTTAAAATATTATTAACAATATAGAATTTATAATTTAAATTTGACTGTCATATACTACATTTTTCTGTATTAGAATTTAATTTCTGACTGTAGAGAGAGCACAGAGATTTTTAATAAATCGTAACTCAAATTTCATAAGTTGTTACAAATACAGAATGTCTATTTTTCATAAAAATAGAATTTTTGTATAAAAATGTTTCTTTTTTATAAAATACAACTTTTCATGCATAACCTATTAATTTATACTTTATCAGATGATTTTAACTGATTAAAAACGATTTTTTAAAAAAAATTGAATTTACTTATTTTTTTTATTTATTTATTTAGAGTACATATACGGGCAAACGGCCTGGAGATTAAGTGTACATAGTTTCAAATTTCTGTGAACAGTGCTGTCGCATTGATTAATTTGTTTTTAGAATTAAATTACGCAATTTAGAAATAAAAACATTTTCATTCTGTTCAAAAAAGTCGATTTCATTCGAAATATTATTCGCTTCGCTGCTCATACGGCTGAAGACAGAATTTTTTCAATAATTTGTTTTATGAAACGGTACCCGAAATAAGTTATATGATCGAAGCTTAATAGGTGGCACAAAAAGATTAATTTTAGAAATAATTTGAGAACAATTCAAACGATTATGTAAAATTTTGTAAAAGAAAAGCAAATTTTCTAACGTTAGGGAGTAACTGGGGTGTCCAGACACCCCAGACGTATTTTAACAGGAGATAGAGCTCTTCCTAGAGCAAAACTTTTGGCGGCACATACAGGTGTCAAAAGATAGAGGTTCAAACTAAATTATCAACGAGTTTTGAGCGTAAAAAAATATTGATTAAGCTGTGGGAATACTTTGAATTTTGCTTGGGGTGTCCAGACACCCCAGTTACTCCTTCTAGGGTTAATATAAAAGTAGAATTATTACTATTCCATAGGAACTTTTACTAGAAACTCAGCACCATTTTTCTCCGTGTAAGAAACTTTTTACTATTTGATGTTTAATTCTTTATATCAGGCCTGCAAAAATGTGTGGCTCGCGAGCAAGAGGCTGAGAGAGAAATTCCCCCTCCATGCGTCGCTCTGCCTTGGCAGGCGGAGTGTATTTTGATTCTTTCAAAATAATCTGTTTTAAAAGTATCGTGCTTCGTTCTTCGAAATTAGTATGTGACGATTTTGTTTAAAGTTTATTTTCTTAGAAGGCTGATAATGAAACCTCACTTTTGATGGAACAAAGAATCATCGATTCTTCAATAGAATTTTGTTTATTTTATCCCTTCTGCGACGAAAACTCCTCCTTAAGTGGAGCTCTTGGAGCACAAAGGTTTTCTACTTGTTCATTAGCTAAAAAACTGTATTACGATTCGCACGTAATTCTATAATCTTTCCCAAAAACAATTTTTGTCATAACTTTTATGTATAAATAAAAAATGTAAAATTTTTATGTGAACACTAAATAAATCGATTATTAATCAAATATACGAAATTAATTTCTTATTGGAGTAAAATTCAATAAGAAGACACTTTATAGTGTCACTTTAAAACACTATTATTTCAAGAGGATGAATCAAAATCAAAATACTCCTACTGCACAAACAATTTATGAAACTGGTTCTGCCTTTATGTTCAGTAGTTCTTCTACTTCACAGTCTAATCAAGACAAAAATGAAATCGCTTTTATATTAGATTCTGGAGCAACCCATTACATAATTAATCGTTGTGATGTATTTGAAAGTTATGAAATAATAGATCCACAAATAAAATTGGCTAAAAGTGGCACAGTAATTAATGGAACAAGAATAGGCTCAATCAAAATATCGACCAAACAAGGATACACTGGAAAATTGTAGAACGTACTCTACAGGCCGAAAATCCAATACAATTTGTTCTCAGTGTGTAAAATTCGAGAAAATGTAATGAAGATTATTTTTTATGCCGACGGAGAAAAAGTGCTGAACCAAGATGAAATCATCATAACTGGCAAATCTACAAATGGATTATTTAAAGTAAATTTTTTAGGCCATATTAAATCTAGTAAATTTTGTCAAATTAAAAAATGCAATTTATTTGTAATCTCACATTAGTAATTTAAACCCGACAGATACACCTTGTGAAACTTGTGTATGATGTGTGTGGTCCCATTACTCCGAGTACCATTGATAATAAAAATTATTTTGTTAATTCCATTGACGAATACACACATTGTACTGTGACCTATTTATTGACACAAAAGTCTGATGTTTTTGAAGCATTTAAAGATTTTGTTCCTAAATGTGAAGCACAATTTAATTCTAAGATTTTTAAACTTTACTGTGACAATGGGAGAAAATATTTATCCAAACAATTTAAAGACTTTTGTTAAGAAACAGGGATCAGTTATCACTTAACCGTGACTCATACCACACAACGAAATGGTGTCGCGGAAAGAATTCATTCTTATTTAATTCACATTTACCCAAGTCTTTTTGGGTTGAGGCAATTTTAACAGACACTTATATAACTAATATATTACCAACTAAAGCGTTGCCCAATGATAAAACACAATATGAATTATGACATAACAAAAAGCGACGTAATTGTTGACGAGATATATTTCAAAACTACTAGACATTGAATCCTCAGAATTAAATATTGAAAATACAATCAACAAAAAAACCAAAATTCTGAAGCATCCTCAATGGAAGCTGAATATATTTTTAAGCGAATCCGGTCAAATTTGAAAATTCTGAAACAAGTTATTCTTTCTTTTGTTAGAATTTATTTATTTACAGCGCTATACTGTCTAATAACAATTTTTAATTAAAGAAAACCATGTGGCAAATGTAACTACATATCCTAAGCTGTAATTTTTTAAAAAGAATAGTCTTTTATTTTTAAACCCTTTCTGGGCAGAAGGGGGTGTCCGTTTTTCAGAGAATGCCCCATATACATGAGACAATTTTATAAAAACTTTTATTATAAACTTACACGCAATTTCTAGCTGCAATATCTTTATGTATAAACTTCTTTTTGTGAAGATACTGGACTCCTTTTGAAGCTTGAAGGGCCATTTCTACGACTTCCTGTGTCGTAAGAGCTCTTGGAGGTCCTTCGCTACTTAGTTTACACCTTAATAAAAACCTTTTCATATTCTTATAGCCGGTATAAGGATAAAGAAGAAAAGGTGCTCCACTCTCTTCAATTGACACTCCCAAAATTGTTAAGAGTGCAGAGTGGTTGATTCTATAAAATGTTAGACCTTCTCGTAACAAAACAGTTACCTGAAATATAAATTCATCTAAACAACATCTTTAAAATTTCTTTTATTAAAAATAATTCACATTTTATTATATTCTGATAGGGTGTTATAATTAAAATACAAAGTCACTCATATAGTGGTGAGTAATGGTTACTAATTTTTGAATGAATTTTTTCACACAAAGAAGAATTATATATAAGAATATAATAAAAGTTTTTTTACCTACGAATTTTGAAAATAAATTTGTTCACATAACTTTGAATCTATTTAGAGTTTAGACCCTAGGAGGTTTTCAAACAATTTTGTGGTTCTCTCATTGTTTAGTAAATATTTAGTTATAATGCAACAATAAGTAACTATTCATGTCACTGGAGAACAAAATTTCAAAAACTATAAAGTGTAAAGATATTAAATCAATGTGATCGTATTTCTAAAAGAGTTGACTGGATTTTATTTGTATAATTCTTGGGCCTTTTGATCTAGATAAACACATTTTTTGTGATATTGTGAAATACATGCATCTTTTATAAAAAATCTTTTTACAGAGATAGTTTGATCACAGTTTGACTTAGTTTGATCACAGTAGTCTAGAAAATACTCATTTAAATTAATTTTTAAATACACTCAAGCGTCAAACTAGCGGTCGTCGGACTAGCGAACTGTTTGTTGATGAGGTGGGAAGCTGGGAAATAGGGGGCTGAGCTCGGCGATCTAGCCCTTATAACTGACATACTAATTCATAAGTCAGAAGTTTTAAAGGTGCTTGGAGAGCCCTATTGTATAAAATAGTAAAAAAAAGTGAGCCCTTTTCAAAATTTATGAACAAAATCTAATCTTTTTAATCATAAAAATATATTAATAAAGCGATTTACTATGGATAATCAATTTATTTATTCATTAATTTAATTTTAAAATGTAATAAATTTTTTTAAACTTAAAAACAATTTAGCATCAGGTTAGAAAACAAAAAAAATGTTCTTTTTTAGATTTACTCAACGGACTCACTCGGGTGGAATTTGGAACGCACCCTAGAAAGAAGAAATTCATGTGTTCCACTTTTTAAAATCAACTATTTTATTTATCCATTTTTTTATACATATTACTAAAGAATTATGTAAATATGACGTCGAACGCGGTAAATGCAAACAATAGTGACATCGACAGAAACTAAAGGATAAATAAGTTGGCAACACTATTGAGTAAGATTGTTGGTGGGGATCAACCCGTGCTTAAAAGTAGATTTCCCCGATTTTAAGTCATACTATGATATAAAAACTACTTTTAAGTCGAGGTTTTGACAAAAGGTGTTATGGAAAAGTTATTGTCTAACTTCAGAAATTTTAAACCTCATACCTGTGATGGTGAAGCGTGTTCAGCAGCTGTTTTTACCAGTACATCTTTTGGTGTTATTGCACCTTCTTCATGATAGCTGCCTTTATAAATGCGACCAAATGTGCCCTCCATTTCCACACTTAGTAAACGTACTCTACACCTATTAATATGATTTAAAAGAAAATAAATTAAAACTAGCATTATATTTTTAAAATTTTATTGTTCATATCTTGAAAAAGTCATAACTAATAAATTTACACCAATCTGACAAAATTAAAAAAAAATTCTGGATTCTCTGTTGTTCAAAACGATAAATTATGCTCGAATAGGGAGGTGTACTTCCGAAAATCCTAACTCTCGGATTTACTTGGAACTGCGTACACTTACGTACTTTATAACAAAAAATATAGTGAAATTGGCGGAATGGGTCGATTTAATGGAGAAAACCACAAAATAGTACATTGTGCAACGAGGACGAGAAATGCGTGCGTCCGAGGTACACACGACATTTTATACAAAACGAGAATGTAATCCGAGCTTACTCGGTGCGTTTTGAGAGGTAAAGCATAGCTTTGCTTCAAGTAGTAGTTTTACGGTCCTAGGACGAGAAAGTAGTCTTTACCGTCCTAGGACCGTAAAACTGCTGCTTGAAGTAAAGGCATACTTTGCGTCTCAAAAACGCGCCGAGAAAGCGGGGATTACATACTCGTTTTGTATAAAAGACTTTTTTAAGATGCGTAGAAAAGAAACCACAACGGAGGCGGGCAAAGCCTCCCGCATCTTGTTTCCTTCCACGTTTTAATATAGAAAGGGATTCAAATTGACTTTCTAGTTGGTACTAAAAGGTAACTAACTCAGACCCGACCTCCCTATCCTGATGATAGACAGTATCAAAGGATACTGTTATCATCTAAATATATGGAACATCTGCTGCTCCTTTTCTATCTACCCGATGTTTAAAACGGCTGTCAGATGACAAAAGCATCTTCTTTCCAAGGGCATCATCCGTCTTGGAGAATGATTTCTATGTGGACGATTTGAGCACTGGTACTGATACGAAAATCATGACAAAAATAGCAATTTTATATCAAGTTGCTCAATTATATGATCCACTTGGGATCATTTCACCAATCGTTATTTTCTCGAAGATTCAGATGCAAAATTTATGGAAACTAAATATTAATTGGAATGATCCTTTACCTGCGGAATCATCATGGAATGAATATAGAAATCAACTAAATTTGTTAGCAGATTAGAGTATTCTGAGATTAGTCAAGATTGCTAAGATGACGGATTATCAGCTGCATGGGTTCGCAGATGTAAGTCAAAAGGCATATGGTGCTTGCATCTACATACGATCATCGGATGAAAATGAACATTTCTCTATATTATTATGTTCGAAATCAAGGGTAGCTCCATATAAAAAATGGCGCTGGAAGTATATAGTGGTGTAGTAATCTCTCCCAGTTTTTGTGATTTGGTGTCACTTTTCTAAGGATTATTTACTTATATTGTGCACTACCTGTTGTGGTAACATTTTCTAAGTGTTTGCTAATAATTATTCACTTTATTATCAACAAAGTATTGCTTATTTGTGAATTTAGTGCTGATTCTTGGACATAACTACTATCTATTTTAATAACATCATCCAAAGACTGCAAATTTGCACCCAATACAGTGTTTATCTGGAATTTTTGACACAATATCTTTAATTTACATTTGTATTTTTGTGGTGCATATCCTGTTTCTATAATTGTTACATTTTGAATCTGGTTTTGGATTATTCGTGTTATTGACAGTTTTTTTGATCTTGCGGTATACGATCAGAATCGCAAACATTGCTCTCTGCCAAGAGTATCAGCTGATATCTCCCACCATGACGGATTCGAATTTGTTATCGCTCGAGACTACTGCGGATCTCTCATGCTCTCATTGCGGTGGTAAACCTCGCACAGGGATCACATGTACAGGTTGTGGAATTTTGTATCATAATAAATGTGCTTCTCTCTATAAAACAAACTCAAAAGGAGTAATTTCTAAATGTTGCTGGGTAAGACTCCGTCAGAAAAATTACAATTTGCATGGGGTCTTCGGATTATTCTGTAATTTGGTGAAGTTGTTATATTTGATAACAAAAATAAGTGTACCAAAGGATTTTTAAAAATTTTCAAAATTGTAAAAGTTACGCCATTATGAATTTTTTTATAAGATTTTTTTCAAATGTAAATATTTCCGAAACAATTTAACGGATTTTAATAAAATTTAAATATGTTATAGTTAAAATCATGTCCTTTCAGAATTTTTCAAAAGAAAAAAAAATTTTTGTTTTTTTCAAAAAAAAAGTAAAAAAAAAATTTTTTGAATCGATTTATTAAGCACGGGACCGATTTTTGAGTATTTTTTGATATATAATAAAATATTCCTTATAATTTCACCTTTCATTTACAAAAAAGAAAACAATGGAGACTTTGATAGTTTTCGAGATATTGCAATTTTTGTGGAAGCGTGACCGCGTTTCAGTGCCAGCGCAGTATCTTTTACCCGGGACGCCTCACAGTGGGATTTTTTACACTTTACTCTTCAAAATTGTCTAGAACCTACAAATTTTATTGGATTTTGATGTTCTTGGTCTTAAATGAAAGAGGATAAAATTTCTAAGAGATCTCTTTAAACTGATTTTTGAATTTTAAATTGTTTATTTATTTTTTTGTTACTCAAAGTTAACAATTTAAAATATTTTTGTATAAAATACTGTTTATTTTTTATTTTTCCATTGCACAAGATCGAAATCAATTTAAATTGGTCTAGTCTGACCACCTGGCAAATAATAATGTATAATACAGTTTATTTAAATTGTTAAAAAAAACAATTTAAATTAACAAATAGATAACTTTGGTCTTTTTTTTTAAATTGTTTTTTTGTAGACAAATTTATGTTTATTTAAGTAATGTATGCCTATTTTGTAAAAAAATTATTTGAAAGTTAACAATTATCATTGTTATTAATAATTATATAACCAATAATCTATTTTCTTTTGCATTTATAAACATTTCCAGCATTTTTAAACTTAAAATGTTTATATCATATGTACATTCTTTCAAAAACTTAAAAAATGTACTTATTGATTTTAAAACAATTTTCATTAACTAATAGATAATATTGGTCTTTTTAAAAAAATTGTTGTTTTAGACAAATTTATGTTTATTTAAGTAATTCATGTCTACGTTGTAAAAAAATGATTTTAAAGTTTATGATTATCATTGATATTAACAATACTCAAAAGTTATCGATATATACCCGTGTAGAAATTTCGCTGGGGCCCTGATCAGGGCCGGATAGGGCCGACCTATTAGGGAATGAAACGCCGCGCCCGATGTGGCCCTGATCTGGAAATCTACATTTTCTTGTCGCCCTGATCTGGGCCTGATCGGGCGCGGCGTTTCATTCCTTACTAGGGCCCTAGTAGGGTAATTTCTACACGGGTAAGTATAGAGCTTTAAAATGTTAAGGTATTTGTCGCGTAAATTCGTTTTCGACAGAATTTTTTTAAATTTCACATAATTATTCTTTGGATATTTATCTACAAAATAAGGCCTATTAAAATAAAATTGACCGTCTGTAAGTCTTAAAAAATGAAACCAAAGTTTCGGTTTTTAACATGTACGGTATAGGAAAACCATATGAAAACCACAGATTTTTAATTTTTGCACTTATACTAATCGACAGATTTTTTAGAAAAACTAAAGTTTTATTTATTGAACCAAAATTAACTTTTATAAAAAAATAAATATTTTTCACCGTCTTTTTTAAAAGATATTTAACATCAAACTTGAAAAATTATTTTAACATTTACTGTAAATCAGGGATGGGTAAATGTAACAAACTCGAGGTTTTCTACGTATGTTACATAAATGAGTAACATACGTAACAAATTGTCGCAAACGTAGCAAACATCAAAGGTGCGTCATAACCTCACTTTTGTAAAATAATTATAAAATTAATAATTTATAGTTACATGTATAAAGTATATAAATTTCCAGTAGAATGATTTTGGATTCAATAAATTAAGTTATAAAAATTTAATGTAATAGATATTTGATCCTGTAGAAAGTCTTATAAACGTATAAATTAAGTAACGGATTTTTTATATTTTTAGGAACAGGAAAACAATCTAAAATGGAATTATCAAAAGAAGACTTTAGTCTGGGAATGTTTTTTTTTGGATGCAACATTCCATTTACGGTTGTGGAGTCCTATTTTTTAAAAAAATTTATTAATACTTTAAATCCAAACTACTTTCCTACTCTCCCGTTTTCTAATTTGGTAGGAGTAAAACTAAGTTGTTGAAAAAAGGGTTTATTAAGAGGCCTTCCACCTCGTTTCATTTTTAAAACAATAATTTCCAGGACTTATGATTAATTAAAAGAATAATAATAAACAAGGCCAAGTGCCGGATTGGCGACAACCAGAAAAATTGAGGTTATGTTTACTTCTGACTGACGTCATAAAATGTAACATACGTAGGGTAGCAAACCAAACGAGTTACATACATGCGTAACATACGTAACAAACCCGGGTAACATACATGAAGTATGTTACGTACCCATCCCTGCTGTAAATGACAGGTGAATTTGTAAACGTGGCAATAGCGCTTGTTAAATACTACAGCTTGTCTGCTACTTTTGGCGCGAAATTTTAAAGACGGCCATACGCCAAACTTGCGACGTTGCCACGATCGTTTTGCATGCGAGAGGTTATGAATATACTTTGAAAACATCTGTGTGTCAAACTGTACGTCGGCAAAAGTTTTTCGGAAACTCGCATTCATAATCGTTTCATAAGTACAGTCAACGGATACAAACTTTTGACAGTGACCAGTCGCGCGACAAATACCTTAAATTCGTTCAAAAAGGTTCTATTTTTTTGCAGAAATAAGCCATTTATTTGTTTATAAAGTTAATAATTTCTTTATAACAAATGTAATTGTTTGAGCTAATAAATTTTTTAAGTTTTTGAAAGAATGTACATATGATATAAATATTTAAAGTATAAAAAATGCTGGAAATGTTTATAAATGCAAAAGAAAATAGATTATTGATGGTTATATAATTATTAATAACAATGATAATTGTTAACTTTCAAATCATTTTCTTACAAAAT